GCAAAGGATTGGAGGCTTGACAGCTTCCAGGCCAAAGCGGTAGCCGTGGCCCACCCAAGCCACATCCGTCTTGATGACCTGCAAGCAGATCGGAGGAAAAGCCTGGGCACCAGTACAACCCAGCTCACCAAGAAATCGTTCTGCCCTGCTCACACCTTTCTCCCTCATCAGAAGAATGTGCTTTGATGAGTTACTTCAAGGTATCCAACGATCTCGGATCCTCCTTTCAGTTCGGGAGCTTCCAAAGGTTTGATGTCTCCAAAACATCTTCCTTTCAAGTCTCAAGATCTCACTCCCCAGCCGATCTCCCAAGACGCCGGAAAGCCCCCCGCCCGAGAGTTGGCATGGCCGATCTCCCACGTGGCATTCGCCAAGCCCGTGGAGGTCCAGAGCCCCATGCCTCGATCGAAGGAGGCAGCCGTTGGTCGGAGCGGCAAAGACCGGTCATTCAGGCAAATCCCTCGTAGCTTCTTGCTCCTAGTAGCGATGCCCTTTGTTACTAGTAGCTTCTTGTTACTAGTAGTGAGGCCAGGAGCCCCTAGTAGCATCCTCGTTACTAGTAGCGATGCCATTTGTCGCTAGTAGCTTTTTGGTGAAGGTCTCCACCGCTTCAATCTATTTGAGGCTCAAAGGTCTTGGGGTCACAACCGTCATAACCCTCGTCTCTTGTTTGGTGTCTAAGAGGTTGGAAGAACATGCATGTCATGTAAATCTGTTGTCTGGGTTCGTACGAGCAGTAGAATCATTCATAGCTCCAGAAATCACACATTTGGACTGGACATCGAAAAAAACGATCCGGCCTCCTGCGCAGAAACTGACTATCTGCAACATGCGCTACTGCCCCAAGCTGGACTGTTTGGTTTTTCTCCACCAACCAGGGGCTTGTAGCATTTGTGGCATGTCTCGTGTCATTATTCAGTCAAGACATGGAAACCTGGACATCAAACGATGGCGAACTTCCAATGTTGGACCCCATCGACGCGATCTGAGAGGTACCTCTCTTCCAATGTTTCTGGACCTCTTGAGATGCACAAAGCTGCCACACACTCTTTCACCCATCAAACGCACTCTCTCACTCGACCGTTTCAGCTCCCAGATGCGGATCCCAACGTCGCCCAGGCCGCGTTGTGTGGCCTGAGGCGGGGAGGCGTCCAAGGGAAGAAGCGTGGCTGCTCTGGATTCCGATCCATTGAGATCGGAATATCATGGAATGTTTTTTAAGGAGGGGTAGGCCGCGAGAGGTAAAGGTAGGTAGCAAGGTAGGTAGCTAGTAGTAGCTAGGTAGCTGCTAGTAACTGGACGCAGGATAGCTCACGCTTCTTCAAGGAAGGAAGCGCTCGCACTATTCAGTTGGTTCCTAGATTTTTAGGGAAACTTAGCTGATAGCGATGGCCTCCACCCTGGTAGCGATGGCCTCCAACCTAATGAAATATCATGGAATGCTGGAAACTCTTGTTCCTGACAGCTAATAACCACAAGGACACTTCTTCGTGCCATGCAGTGCTAGGAAGTTGAATGTTGGGGGAACTGCTCATCCACTGTAGGCTCCAAATCCAAGCTCTGCTTTCCATTAAACCTGGACATGACATGAGATCCACTTCGGCCGGCCTGGAGCATATTGCGAGAAGTGTAGCCACAGCCATAGCCATCATTGACCAGCATCCACCTCAATGCTGGCAAGGTTCTAGCAATCTGCATTCAAGAAGCATCCCAGGTTTTTTCAGACAAGTACGGACAGGATGTGACTTGCTTTGGGCTTATTCCTCCCCCCAGAAGGTTGAAGTGCCGGCCTGATGAAAAGGATTCCCAGGGTGAAAAACAAAAATAAAAAGGCTTGCAAATGTGGTCTGTCGCTCCACCCGCGCGGCATCGCATTTTTGGAGTAGTTCTTGGCCACTAACCTCAGTGGACATGCTGATTGTTGTTAGCGATTCGGTGGTAGCTCACTAATTAGTCTCACTGCATCATATCTCTCAAGCAAGTTCCTGTTTCAAGTACAACCACGTGATCCATGCGCCAACCTGTTTTCATGGCTTTTCAAATCAACCGAAAACCAAAGGCCAAGGAGCAGGGCACTGGAGGTTGTACCCTTATGCCGTGCATTGTTGTAGCAGTCGGAATCTCCTAAAAAGAGTCCCCAAATGGGTGGCAGCATTGGCCTCCCAGCTACTCTCGTATAGAGATTCAAAACATCTTTCATTGAATTCCCAATGAAGTAGAAGCTGTCAAGCCCCGCTTCGTCATGTGCAAGCATCACTTGCTTGGAAAAGTTATAGGCTCCAGGTTTGTAGGTGTTCCTCAATGCTCCATAGCCTCTGGATGACATAAAGAAAGGTGCTGGGTTGGCACGGCCGCCAGCATCCCAGCCACCTCCTTCATGGATCAGAACAAACCGGCCCGTGTGATCGTAGAACCCATTTTGCATACCACATCCATAGAAAGACCTCGGGGACAACTTTGGCACTTTAAGCACTCGAACAACATGGTCAAACACAAAGAGCCAAGAAAGAGATGTGATTCGGAACGCCACCGTGGCTGGGAGTGTCCCAAAACTTCGAGATTTGTTGAGGCGATTCTGTTCCAGCCACTTTTCAGCCAAGAAGCTCTGATTCTACCGAGCTTAGAGTCTGCCAAGTGCGTTTGGTGCTCCAGGACATTGGCCGAAGCTCTTTCCACACGAGGGAACCAGCCCGGTAGAGCGACAACATCAACGGCTTCCGGGATCCACGGACGATGACCTCGCCGGAGGAGAACTCGAAGCCCCCGGAAGTCTCCACAAACTTGGCGCTGGTGCTTTCTGCGGAGAGTGTCACAATTTCACCATTGGTTGGATCCGAGATCTCTCCACTTGGAGCCAATCGAATGCGAAGTGTGCCAGGGGACACGAAGGTCAAGCTCACCAGGCTTTCACCAGCGGTGATATTGAGCTCTGAACCGTTGGGTGACTTCCAAGCAAAGCCCGTGACTGGCCCCAGAGACCCTGGCTTTGCTAGGACTTCGGCTGGAACGTACCTGAGGTAGAGATTGAGGTTCATGCACATCAGCAGTTTTTCTTGAAACTTGAGGTCAGCAATCTGAAGCAAATCAACAAGTTCGACCAGTTCGGCTGCTGAGCCTTCCATTTCTCACATGTTTTGAGAGAACATAGCTGGTGCTTCCCACTGTCATGTCCCTGCCTCCGATCCAGCTGATCCGGCAGGTCGCTCCCAGGAGCCTGGGCACCCCAACCAGGCAGCACCAGCACGAGGATCACCAGGTGTCCCAAACACACCGCCATGGGGCCAAACGCACCGCCGACCGGCAAGCTGGTGGGGAGCGACAAGTGAGCCAAACAACCAACAAATGGCATTCTTGATGGCCATCGCTTCTAGGTTGAAGGCCATCGCTCTTCGGTTGGAGGTAGGTTGGAGGCCATCGCTCTTGGTTTATCTTAGGATGAGGCACTCAGCTTTCATCTGCCTGTCCGACTACCAGGGCCACTTGAAAGTATCCATTTACTGTACTTTGAGACAAGCGTGGTGCTGATGGCAGCAAAGTTGCTGAGTTGTCAGGAGGAACCCAGCACTCTCACCTTGAAATGAGGCCAGAAAGGCCTTCTGGCCATGGCCGACCATCAATGACGAGATCTTGTAGATCCTGGAAAAGGCATAGCAGCATTGCAAATCTCAATCCGATCCCACAATTCCCAACTCCCAAGAGTACCTCAGCTAGACTGACCCCCTAGCCTCGCTGCTGGAAGCAATGCGCAACGCCTCGCTTTGGTAGATCCACCGAAGCTTCTCCGGTGCTTCATCCTTCTCGTAGATCCGAGTCCAGCCCTCTGATGCAGAGTTGACATCGACCTCAGCGGCTGTCACGGCGGTCAGGTTGGCCACGCGCTCTTTCAGCTCCGCCTGGTTGTTGATCACAGCATCGATGACACGCATCTCTAGATAGGGTTGCTCCCACTTCCGGCGCAACGACCAATCATAGAACAGGGCAAAGGTTGTACCTGCCCAAAGCCAAAAATTCAGCCGCTCTTCCTCCCTTCCGCTTCTTATTCCTAGCATGTCCTAGCCGGCCATCTCTCAGCCAAACCCGCCTACCGCAGCTCCAGTGGCCACGTCAAAAGCACGTCGCTGGCATCTTGCAGCCCTTCCCTGTGAAGATGGTGAAGTAAGGAAGCTGCGGCCACTGGCAGTTGCTCCGGCGAAAAGCAAGCTGATCTGGATCGCAGATCTCAGACACCAACGCCTAAGTATTTCGTCGGTCACGACCAATGGACCCCAAATTGAGGTAGCCCTCAATTTGGAGCATGGAAAAGGATTGTCAAGTCATAGCACTCAAATTGGCAACTTGCCATAATGTGCTACTGCTACTCAATGCTCGAGTTTTGCAGGTTGCAGTGGTCACAACAACTCGCCTTCTGGCTCTTGACTTGCCGAGCATCAGCTGCGCATGGCTTCTCTTCAAACTCCTTCGAGGAAATGTTGTTCTCTTCAAACTCCTTCAGTGATTCCTTTGAGGAGGTTGTCAACTGCTGTTGTTTGCCCCCTTATCGTGCCTGGAAGATCAATGTGGCTATTTGATCTTCACCCACCCACCCCAAAGGGTGAAAATCCTGGTACTATTTACCCATCAAAGTTTGAAATATGCATGGTGCGCATGTTATTATATGTGTATATAGTTCTGAGTCATATATATATATACATGTTACATGTCTTTTACTAAGCAGCACTACCAAAGCCACCTGCTGTACCATGGCCAAGTGTTTGGTCTTTGATGTTGCTTGATGTTGAGCTTCACAGTGATGCGCCACGGTGGCGGCAGCTTTGTGGAAGATGGATGAAGCTGGAGTGCAGTCACTCATTAGTCCATAATTAGTTGTTTGGTACACTACCTAGAAGCAAGAAAACTTAATAAAGAAGAACCTAGAAGCAACGGCCTCCAACCTGATAGCGCTGGATGAGTCTAGGCAATCCGTGCAACATGCATTGAAAGTCATCTGCTGGGTCGCGAGCATGGCCTGTCGCCGGATTCGGCCCTCGGTTAGATCCCCAATGCCATGCTGAAAAATATCAGACTGTCATATTGGGTGCTACTCAAGCAACATGTCTTTGATAGACATTCTGCGCCGACTTGCCTCAGTGAGAGCCTGAGGTGGCAACCTCCATTTGCTGGACCGCCTCTTCTGGCAAGCCTCGGGTGAAAAACACTTTGGCTCGACGAAATCCAAACAAGACCAAAATTTAAACACCTGCGTAGACGCGGGCTATCAGGTTCAAAGCAGGCACGATATTGTGCAAATCCTATGCCGTGGATATGAGAGGCCTGTTGGGAACAGAACTAAGCTGTGAAACAAACTTGCCAGTGAAGGCTCTGTTGGAAGAAACCCAAAGGCTCCACATGCCCTAGATTACTCTTGAAGGAAGACAACTATGCCCCACCTCAAACGCATCATGTCCACTCTTGACGTGGTACGTTTGAGGCTGTGTAGAAGTTTTCTATTCAAAAGCGGGTCTAGTCATCCTCCTTGCTACCAAGGTCAATGTACAAAATGGGTCGTGCAAGGTCAGACGTCTTACTAGTCAAAAATGTCAAAGAAAGTTGGAAAAACCTTGGGTCACGCACCGCTATTGTAGCCATTTTTTACAAAAAGGTCTGCCATTTAGCATGTTCAATCTTGACGATGGAGGGATGTCTTTTTGGGAGGGAGAGGCCAGGACATGTTCTAACTGTTTCTGATCAAGAGTCTGACTGTGGCATTGTCATCGAATCGGTATGCAACTGATTCAGGAAGTTTGCTGCCTCTATCAGGAGAAATTATTCTTGGACTTTTTGTTACAAGTTCATTCTTTGAAGCAGCCGGCCTTAGACTCTATCGACCGATTGTTGAAATGTTTTGGGTGATTGCAAACTTGCTTGACATGTTTGTGATTCTTCGCGTGAGGCTTTGGCACATTCGATTCGCTTTTTGATGTGTCATTCATAGGACCCGGTTGTATAAACGAAATAGATGTTCAATATGACATCTCAAACTTCTCCCAATCTGGTGCCAATTCCCAGCTGTCACCTGATCGGTTGCGCGTGGAGATTGGCCACCCAAGAACTCGCGTCCAACGAGCAGCCCGACTCCGACTGTCCATGGAACCACTGAACGGGTCGAAAGGAACCACTGAACCAGCCAGCCAGCCATGTACGCGCGAATCCCAATGCGCGCAAAAGGCCACTCTCAAATAGATAGTGTACGCGCTAGGCAATCCTCACGCATATGTGGCAGGTGACGCGCAAGCTCAGAAGCACTAGAAATGCCAACGCACTCCTAGACAAGTTGCTTGTTGAACACAAACAGTTGAGAACTCAGTCATTTAAGTAGACTCGTTTTTTTTTTTTTTAGAAATGTCTTTAACATGACACGATAATGGGGCCATGATGTGCACTGTAGCCACACCGAAAAGCGAACGGACCTTAAGGAAAAAACTACCTGAAAATTGCAATGCACAGACCACTCAAAACTTAAAATGTTGTATCGTAAAGAGCCCCTCTTATAACGAAATCACCACCCACCACATCCAGAAGTCTTGATATAGCATTTGTTGCATTGCACATCATGGCACCAAGCTTCAATGTTTGTTCACCCTTCTTTGGGGGTAGTGGTACCAAGTCTTTCAAAAGAGTCTGCACTAGCACCCAGTGTTACTCTCAGAATGCTCTGTGTGTTTCTGATACGTTTATCATGTGCTTGAGATCTTCTCGCCCTCTGATTGTTCTTTGCGATGTCCTGAGGCCAAAAGCCAGTGCAAAAAGACATGTTTCTGGAACATGCCCCAAAAAGGCATTGCAACAACTCAAAAAAAACCTGAGTTCAAAAATTGCGGTCATGTTAAGTCCTGACAGACATTTGTTGCTTGATGCCCGGACTCAATCAATGTTTGTTCCTAACCCTTTACGCAATGGTTCCTGAGGCAAAAGATATATATATATATATGTAATATTGTATAATCATGTGTTTATATTATATATAAGAAAAGTCGGATATCCAATGACATCCAAGATCCAAGAAAAATACTTGAGGAAAACTTCCTGCCTTCATGATGTCTGATATTTTGTTCTTTACATTCTTGATGATTTTGGTGTTGTGTTTTGAACCTCAACTAAATTGGTTGTTCATCATCTTAAAATGCCTTTTCAAAAAGTAACAGAATATGGATCAGGCCTTCTGGAGGTTTGTTCCTGACGTACTGTTATATATATATATATAGATAGATATATATATATATCAATTCAGCGGGGCAACATTTTAACAACCCAACTTACACAAAAGTCATCTTGTGTTTTCCCATGCGAATTGAGTCATATAAAACGACAAAATTGTTGTTAACACCTTGTTTAGACCGTCGGTAGTAACTCATGAGCCCTGAGCCACTTGCAAGAGTTGCGTGAATCGTGCACCTTTTGTTCCAATGCCAGGTACCGAATTTGCACCCTCTGTCCGTTTTGTGGCCGAATTCCGAACGCGTCACAGTCAATTCTTTCATTCTGAGAGCTCGACTGTTCTCCCTCACTGCTTTGCAGTTCAAAGACACCACGCTGAATTTGTTTTTGGGTGCCTGAAGCTATCGCCGAGTTCTGCGCTCAATTGATCGTCAACATCAGTGGTTCCCCCCAAGGGACATGAGCATTACCAACACAGAGTAGACTGGGGTTGTTTCTTCTGTGGTGAATTTGAACAATCATGTCAACACCGGACCTATTGCTGTACCCCTTGCAAATGTGGCCGCAACTAGACGAAACTTGCAGCAAACCCAACAAAGGAATAAAAGGGAAGAGGCAAAAATGAGCAGCGTCATACCAGTTGGAACAGTTCAGAAAAGAAATCTGTGTAAACCTGTAAACACTGGTAAACAGATCCATTCGAAGCCTTTTCGCTACATTCTCTCCGCCGCCTCTCCAACGTTCTCTCCAACACATCGGTCGCCTCGGCTTTCTCCATGCCCATGCCGATGAAGTACGTCACCAGGCCCTCCAGATCCACTCGAGGGGCCGCTTCAAAGCTGCGGACCTGGTGAACGGAGCAACCGTGAGGAACCACGGTTAAATGTACCACACAGTAGGTCCAAGCATGGAGAAGAAGAATGAGAAGGCCGCCCTTTTCCGAGGTTGAGGAAAGTGAAGGTTCATTTGGAGTCATTCTTCCTCTACGAGTACAGTATTGTGTTGTTTTGAAAAATGAATCCACCAAAAGCTGGAAGTCCAGCTCACCGGGTTCTAGAGAATCATCAAAACTGCCAAAATCTCACTCGTCAAGCCCCTGGACCTCAGCTGGCCTCGGCCGAGCACATAGCCACAAGCTCACCCATCTTGGTGAAGCGCAAGTTCTTGAGAGCAAACTCCTCAGAAGACGCGTTAGAGCGAACCATCTTTATCCGTAGGTTGAAACGGCACCGAGTGAACAAGCTCGTGGCGCTGATAGTTGCTCCGTCTTGGGCCCCCCGGCAGCGGTGCGGTTCCCTTCCTTGGCCCAACGACGCTGGACCTTAAAGCCGGCGCCTCAGAGGTCGGAGCTTCGGAGCTTGGCCTAGAGCATCTATAGAATCAGGTGTGCCAGGAGAGCAAGTCTATACAAGAATACAAGCCATCCGGATGTGCGATCTCACCTTCAAGCTAAAGCAAAGAATGCAAAAGAGTTGACCTGAAAAAGGATGCACTTTGTCCCACACCTGCTGGATCGTCGAGTGGCGCGATCTGAGGGGTACAGTGGGGGCTGATTTGGATCAAATGCTGGCTCAGTATTTGGACATACATTCGAACGACAAACAAGAGCAGGAAGAGTACGAGGAAGAAGAAAAAGAAGAAGCAGAAGCAAAGCAAAAAAAAGAAAGACTCGTGGCTAACATGCTGCGCAGTTTCATCTTAAAAGGAAAGAAGCATGTGAGGATGGAGAGGAGAAGTTCTCACTCAGCTGGCCGGCTTAAAGGGTTTAATTTAAAGCTCATAGCTTCTTCAGGGTGCACATAGCAACTGGAGCCTCACAGCGGCTGTAGTGTAGAGGATGAAGCGCCGCATAGATCCGTTGGAGGCCTTTTAACTCCTGGCGACAGAAAAAACAACTCGCATGAGCAAAGTCATACGGATCCTCGCACTGGACGAGTCTAGAGTCCTCTGGAAAAAGACATGTTGTCTTTTGGGGCCGGCGATACATGATATATATCATATAATCAGGTGATAAGCCCGGAGGACAGAGGGGCCTATGAAATATGTCCGCGTTTGAATGTTTCAAGTCACACGCTTTATTCTCGCAGTTTCCTCGCATCAAGTCCGTATGTACAATTTGACACGTCACACTGGACAACCTCTTGAACAAGTTCAAAGAAAGACGTCAAAAGCAAATTGCACATCTTGGCGACAGGTAGGGCAACACAATGCTCTTCCGCCGGTGCTCTTTGCTTGAAACTGTTGAAAGCAAGAACTACAAACACACACGTGCCTGCATGGAAGAAAAGCCTTGGTCGGCTTCGATTCCTTGCATATCACGTATGGACTTAGTTGCAGACTATTTGAATTGTGAAGTTCTCGCTGTAAGCACGCAGACTCCCTCAAAAGCCCCTCTTGAGCTTGGAACTGCTGGTCAAGCAAACGATGCAAACGAAGGTATGTATTGTCTGCTGTCATTGCGAAGTTCTTTGCCTGGCCATGTGCGTCATAGATGCTTTTTCATAATAGCCACAAGGTTGGAGAAAATCGTCATTGACGCCTTCTGGATTTTCTGTTCTGATCTTCTTCATTCCTCCTCCTGCATCTTCTGCAGCATTTCAATGTCCTTCTGTTGCTTGTAGGCCTGGCACTCACGCCACTGAAGCCACTCGACCAACTCGACACCACACACACCAAAACAAGTACATTTTGCTTGCTTGCTATCATGTTGCATGCAGGAGGGGGTACTGGAAGGGCCGGCCTCTTTTGATGCCACGTGATCAGGGATCACCTTCACAACAGGATGCTTGACACAGTAATACACATTGCTATTTGGAGGCCATCGCGCAGGCCATTGCTATTAGGTTCCTTTTGCTACTAGTTCGTTTTCGCTTTCCGTGGGCCTCAAAGTGTTCTTCAAGGGACTGTGCAAACTCCCCTGTCTGCAGCTGACACCGGCCAACGCACCCGGCAGTGCAATGTGAAAGGTTTCCATCCACACTGTCCCGCTGCATACTGCAGGAATTGCATTCGAACCTGTCAGCAACGTGTGGTTTCAACGCAAAACACCTTGGAAAAACTCAGCTGTGGCTCTGAGCACCTTCTTCTCCTCATTCTGTTTCCAATGTGCGACCTGGCCCTGGCACCGCTCCCCAAGCAGTCAAAAGCACCTGGGTCTGCCGCAAGCAATCATGTGGGTGCCCAGCTGGTTCGGATACAGCGGCATGCATGGCATGTAGCGATGGCCCTGCGATGGCCGCCCCAATAGGTCCAAAGCAAAACCAATCCCTCGTCAAGCGAACTGTGTGGAAGATCCTGCCTGAGTGCACACCGTCGCACGAACCATGACAGGCAGAGATGAAGGGGTTGCAGACTTGCAACGATCGCAGTTCTTGACGATCTATGTATTCCAGTCTTCCATCATGTGTTTGGCTGCTCATTGCCAGCTGGTATATATATATATATACTTGGTTCATGTGGTGATAACTTCGACCGTTGCAGTTGTTTGGAACAGATTTGATTGAAACTGCTACTTGCTGTTGAGCGGAAGACTCACAGGACCCACTTGGTTCCTGCCATGAGTCCTGTTCGACTGACGAAGAATGGCAATCAACAAGCTGTGCGATACTAAACCGTAAAAAAGCGTAACTCATATCCTAGGATGGAGACGATTGTTTGGTCTCGACTCCAGCAAGGAGCAAGCTTGGAATGGAAGGCAACATGACTCAACAACACGGCCATGCGTGTCATACATTCATACAGAAGAGAGGAAAAAAGGGTCGGTAAGGGGCCAAGGGAGCCGTACTCAAGGGGCCCTTACCTTCTTTCTAAGGGAAAGTTTGGCACAATGCGTTCAGTGCTGATCCTATCGACAGCACCTCTGGATCAAATGAAAGCGAGGCAAGGATGTTCTTGGGCAGCACGCTCTTCACCTCTGCATGCTTACAACACGCAATGGAAACGCTGGGTTTCATCGATTGACATCCCTTCAGGCTCAAACGCAACTGCTGCGCTGGGACAACCACAAAAGCATGACCATTTCATGACAATACATATAGATTATCGTGTGAGAACAAAAGCAACTGAACACTCCTCCTCTGATCTGAAGCCTGGTCTGAAGCTGCAGCTTTTCTGTTGATCAAGTCCAGCAAGAACCTGGCGCCGGAGTGATGCCATCAAAATAGCACTGCGGTGGGAGAACAGAAGTCAGCAAGGCTTGCGCCATCAATTTTAATAAGCTGAATACGTTGCCTCTAAATGAACTCTCTGGCAGTGGAAAGCTTACCTCCTAGAAGGACATGTGCAAAAATTCATGGACATCAGGAACCCAAAGCTGGGGCCATTGGTCTGCGGCGTGCGTAGACCTGACTTCTCTGCAACTCTAGCACTTCTAGAGCACGGCCACAACGACGCTGGTGGCCGACTTGTTGTGTTGTAGATTGAAGGGCTCAAAATAGAAGTCCAAGAGGTTACCTCAGCGATGGGGTGTCCCCTGAAGATGTTGGATGCTATACTGAATGGCACTAACTGGCATGCGCTTTCACCATAAATATATCAGTACATGTGTATATATATATAATATGACAGCATACACGCATACGTTGTATTGGACATCAATCATTGTGGAGTCAGCTGGGCTTAGGCCCCTTAGAGCAAGACGAAGTCATCTGGCATAGACGCTACAAACATCCAAAAGCTCTATGGTACACTAGTGGAATCCCAAATAAAAACCAAAGCACGTGAAATGGATTCATTTGGAAATCGTCCGTAGGCACTTGTAAGCACTTTTCAAGGTTTGCTTTGGCTGAAGACATTATGTATTGGTGCACTTCTACCTTCCCTCATCAATCCAGTTCCCTATGTCGTGTTGCCTACCAAATGAAGTTGCTGACAGGGCCCGCAATTTAAGACAACTCTGAGCTTCACGGCGCAACTCTCTCCCAGCCTTCACAGCCTTTTTGGCCGAAGTACATCAAGGATAAGTGGCGACATCCAAAAAAGACTTCATGTCTGTTCCTGATATACAGTATACATCTAACTTCTAACCTGCAAGATGGAAGAAAGATCTGAATTCCAACTTTAACTTTTCTGATTGCGAGCCTCGGCAAGAGCTACGGGAATTCATATCAAGAAATAGATGTGCTGGCCTTGGGAGGAAGATCGTCAGGATCTATCTGGGCACAGGACATCAAACACAGGGTCGGCCTGCTTCTTTTCACAGCTAAGCCAAAGCCAAAGAAGATGAAAAAATATGCTGGCTGAGACCTGCCAGAAGGAGGTGTCATCCACGCCTGCTTGGGAGGATACCAGCGGGGCCGCCATCCCTGTGATGACTCCATATGTGCAGGACATCTGCTTTGTACATGCAGGATGTCAATTTAGCTTGTCCCAGAATCCATGTCTGCATCCACTGATCTCCTGACGCTTCATACATTAGGCCCCCCGGCTATTCTATCATGAGACTCCGACTGTGGAACTTGTGAGAAAGACACCAGGAAGGCAGCTTGCACCAGGGTCAAACAAGGTCCCCTGCCTCCTCTCCATCCCTCTGATAGCTCCGGTATCCACGATTCCAGGACCGTGCCTCACCGGGATGACCAAATCAAGATGTCTTATCCATGATCTTTGAATATCACCATTGACTCATGTCTCCTCGTTGCCTCATAGCATTGCCCTGCCCAATGCCGCTGCAAATGTTCTTGCTTGAGTTCTGAAGGCGGCGCCTCCATCCCAAATGATCCATTCGAGCTCTGAACCATGGAACCGAACTCCTGCGTGGGAGTTAGCACATGGCACATGAGTGTGGCTTCACAGGAATCCAGAAAGCTTCCAGTGACAAGTGAGTGGAGAGGAAATCGTGAAAAGGTGGATGTGCTTGGGTTATGTATATAGAGAGAGATGTGAAAATATATCTATGTAATAAAATTGTAGTAACAATAATACTAGTTTTAAAAAGAATAGAACACACCTCATGCTTTGAGCCAGACCTGTGGCCTATGCTATCTTCTACATGGATGAGTCAGATGAGTTCTAACACGCAGCTGCCCTCCTCGCCCGGGTACATGAAATTCTGCATGAACCTGGCCCATGAACTGATTCACATCAATGCCGTAGAACAGTTTGAACGGCTAGGTCCTTTCTCCTGAATCTGTAAGCGGTCATGGGAGTTGCACCACAGCTGCACTTCCATTTTTATGGCAACGGCAACTCGTTCATTGCACCAGTAGCAAGTTTGCCAGAGCTATCTCCATTTGCTCATACACACTTGCACGCATAAAAACTATATATATATACATATGAAGCACTGGAGATACATCTGCTCCCTTGCGCACGTTCCACCAACATCGGCGGATTCATCTTGTTGAACATGTCCTTTTCACATCTGTCAACCTTGCTGTGGATCCTGCTGGTCCTGAGCACCCAGGCAAGGGATCTGGATTGTCTGGATCCAGATAATCTTGCAGCGTCAGCTGCATGACCTGAAAAAAGAGCTAGAATGGAATGGTCTTTATCGACTTTTAACCAAAGCTCAGGCAGCTTTAACTTCCCAAAATGTTGATTCTATTGTTGCCACTCATCTTCCAACACAGCGTCGGCACGTCGGCGCCTTTTTATCCTTTGGAAGTGAGTCCTGCATCGATCATTGGCGAAAGCACGCGAAAGCATGCGAAAGCGCGAAGCGAAGACAAGCCGAGGCATCCTTCTGGGTTTCAAAGGAACCTCAGCAAGCATACAGCGTAGGGTGTTTTGACGGGATTACTGGCCGGGGGGGGCAATCCAAAACTCCTGACCAATCTGCGGTTATGTGATTGGGCCAGTTTGGCTCCAGTTTTTGGGTTAGCTCTCCAATGCTCACAGTTATCCTCAAGGACCACGTGAAGTTGTGTTTGAGGAGCGTTTCTTCATAGCACCTGAATCTTGTAACCACTGAAACAAGCGCCTGGAGACCTCACCTTGATCCAAAACAGCAACTATCGAGGGTAGGGTTTAGCGAGAATCCACTCTCTTAGTCCACAGCCACCACTCTCAACATTACTGTCCTGCCAGGTCAAGAGTGCTTCGCAGTAGTCCTAGGAAAACAGTTTCGTTGACCTTAGTAGCGTTTTGAAAGGCATTCTGAAAACAAGGAACCAAATCAATCATGCAAGGGGGTCTTCTGCGTCTCAGCTACTAGTAGCTTCGTTGCTCCACTTACCCCTTTCTACGTTCGCTGCTTATTAGCTACCTCCTCTTACCGGCCCAATTGTGTTGCACTCGAGTACTGAGCAAGGCATTCCAGGCCTAAAGCCGCGTTTCCAGTTCTACTGCATCTTATTGTGCTTATGCGAACTGCTTTTGCGCTCGTGGAAAACCCCATCAAACTTCAGTCAGGGCTGCCCAATCGTAAGGCTGGCGACCTTATGAGATGCACCAGCACGGGTGAGTGATGATTCTGAATCAGTCTAATCTTCTTCTCTCTGTTTCTAGTCTTTTATTTTCTTGTATATATTTGCGCTCTTGAAGTCGCTGACCCCGAGACATAAACTTGCTAATGATTCCTTAGCTCTACCTCTTCCTGTCATGCACCCGACATTGCAACTTCAACTCCCAGGTTCAAAAGAGATTCTTCATTCACTTGTCCCGCCTGGGCCAGTCACAAAACCATCAGCCTTGCAGGCGTGCGGCGATAGAAAAGGGACCATGCCAACCAAGAAAAAATGTGAACTTGTGATTATCCCTCGGAGATTTGGTTCTACAGTTGCCCGTAATGATGTGGGCGACCACCCATAAATGCGTGTTACCCATGTTGATTGCAATGATGGTGGAGACAGAATTTCAGGCAATTCCAGTCCACCTTCCCTTTCACCAGAAGAGCAAGCTACCCCACGTTCCCTTTCACCACACGTACTCAAATCACAAAAACTATAGCCCGAATCAAAGGCCCGCACATCAAAAGCGGACTCATCAGCCCAAAGCGTTGCGTAGTCCTCCTAATGGGGCCGATGCTTGCGTGACGTCGTGACGGGGCCGAGGGGAAAGCGTGACGTCGTGACGTCGAAGGCGACACGGCCACACCCGGTGGCGAAAACGGCCACGCCACTGAGGCCATGGCAGATGGGTCCCACATGGCTCACCTGTGAGGGGGGGAGGTGGTCTGTGGTGCCGCAGCTGTACATGCCTGTTGGCATGTATGAGTGATGTATGCCGCATGCCCAAGTCTGGGCACAGGCACACTCTGAGCTTTGAGTGTCTTTTTGTATGCAACTTACAGAGGGTGCGAGTGGTACCCAGCTCCATGGTATGGTCTCAAGTGTCAGAAATGGTGAACCTGCCTGACAAGCATTGAATGTCCAAGCCAGATTAGTTTCACTATTAAGTTGAAAGGGTGGAGAATGAGAGGAGATTGGATGAGTGGCATCTGTTTTCTCCAAGGGCCGGTCAAACTTGCTTGAAGGGGTCACCAAAGACTAGGCTGAGCAATCCCATGATCCCCAAGAGGAACCTGGCGCCACTCTGCGCCCAATCTCCAGCGGATCGCGTGGAGCCGTTGATCCGCTGCGGTCAATTCCGGTGCAGACGTGGGTGGAGAGTTTCGCTGAAAGAATTCCTCGGTCAGTCTGCAAAGTCTTCTAAGCTTCCTTTGCTCTGTGGCTTTGCAGAATATTTAGGGAGTCTTTGTTGGGCGCATTGACTTCGCGCAATCTGACCCACGGTCTTTTTGGATCATTGGCTGAGCGGCCCCAAGTCATTGAGGTCGAAACACTTTTGAGTGGAACCTTCCCCATCTCTGGGCATAGGTCAGCTTTTGATGATGTGCTCGTAGCAGTGGACAGGGCCCAGCAACAGCTTATCAGGCTTATCAGTTTATGGCTACCCCTTGACCAATCTATTGCCTTTTTAACCGGACAGGTTTTCATGACGGCGGGATCTCACGTCCCTGCCACACATGATCCCGCAGCCTGCATCCAATAAAAGCCGCATCTGGGACGAAGTTCCAAATCCAGCTCTTAAAGTGCTGTGACTTGTTGTGAAGAGAATTTTTTCAATGACCCAGTCTCGGAATGAAACAACCGGAACAACCGGAACAACCAAAAGCACTCACATGTCCTGATCCAAACTGTCATCTGAGATCTTCCGAGCATCGTCAAAAACTGAAACTCCTACATTGCGTTTGCAGTGCCAGCAAAGGCCTGAGAGGGTCGTCAGCATGAACACACGTGTACCACATGGGAACATGCATGCAGCATGGGCTGGCAACTGCCAACTGAATCAAAATCCCCGCACTCCACCCAATCAAAGCTACATGACTGGAGGAGAAGGCGATTGAGACTCTTGAAATGGATTTGTGCAGATGCTGAGGATATTTGCTCGGCTCAGCTGGAAAGGTTCTTGCAGACACGCCTCTAGCTGCAAAAGCAAAGCGCGCAAGCAGCAAAGTTTTACCTTGAAGTTTTGTAATTATCAATCCAGGGCAAAATCGTTGGCAATTTGTGCTACTCAGAGCATGGTGGCATCTTTCGACAATCCAAAACACAACATGCAAAATGCTTTTGTGCTGCAGCAGTGCTTCACGCACCCATCACGCGCAACGCGGGCTAGCGGCGACCGATCACTTTCAGGTACCTGCCACTTTCCGGGGTGACTCTACGGCGCCTTCCACTCCACACCCACCACCGTTTCAGTGAGTGAAGGCTGTAGGGTTCCATGGAAAATGGGTGCTTGAGATCAAAAATGGGTGCTTGAGATCAAAACAAACCATGATCAACATAATCCGTGAACGTTTTGGTTTCATGGTGCTTGAAACAAAGATCAATGGTGAACAGCACGCGAAAGGTCCGAAGATTGAGTTCCGGACCTTTGGATCTGCACTTAGGTGAGAACGGTGAGACCTAAGGACAAAGAGTTACCCATTCCCAAAGCTCGATCTCAAGCAAATCCAAAGAGGAACCGGGAACCTTTCGTCGAACGGCTGAAATGAATCGTTCATCTCATCCTATCCAGGAAACTCTTTCACCAGTTGCATTTGGTTCAAATGATGCGGCCAGGCCTGTCGAATCTGCCCGCGATTCAGGCAGCACCTGGGTCGGCTGGCATCAACGTTTTTCATGGTGAGCTAGCGGTGCTCCGTTTTCACCACACATGTTGTATGCCCATGAAAAGCCGTCCTGAAATCGTCCAAACACATGAGCTGCAAAACACATCGCCCCTGAAGCCAAGATGCTACAGTACTAGTAACAAGAAGCTACTAGTAACAAGTGCCACGCTACTAGGAACAGGTGCCTTACTAGTAGTAACAAGAAGCTACTAAGAACCCGAGGCTCATTTCATCTAAGCTAGCTGGGAATCCGCTGGGACCACGGCGGCTCGCATCGGTGAGGTTCTCACGGCAAGAGGTTCCTGGACGAGCTACGCGACCCATCCAAGTAGCTCAAAGAGCTGGCAAAGGCCGAGGTGCAAACCTCTTGGAGCAGTAGAAAACTTACTTGTCCAGTTCTGGACCTGGAGAATCATAGTTTGCTCCAGAAGGCAGCTGCAAGTGACTCGCATCTGTGTGCCACGGCAAAATGCTGCACTCTCTCCTGCCCTCTATGTTCCTACATGTGCACAACTTTGCCGGTGCTCATAGCAGGTCAATCACCCAAACAGCCAACCAGCGCTGTCCCTTCCGGTTTGGACGACCAACTACTGCAGCCGTCCTTGGGTCTCAGGACCACCACGGGTGGGGCCACCTCAGGAAGGAGAGAAGCGAGGGAAACCGGGAAGACCGCCCTTCAAGTCATCGAAACCCCGGTATTTCCGGCTTCTACATGATGTGCTGGTCACCTGAGCATCGCACAAAAACTGACCATGTCATTCTGAAGTTGAAGCGCATGCAAGATCTTCAAAGGAGCTAGGTCCAGTTGATAACCCAAAGAGGCAAAATGTCACTCTCGTCTTAAGTGCCAGCCGTGTAGATCGGTTGCACGTTGTGGGCATGGCCGACCTTGGCCAAGCAACTGTCAGAAAATGAATGTCATTCATCGTCGGAAGTTTCTCGATGCTGGCAATCGTATCCCTGACACAAAAATATTAAATATGATAAGAAAAAGAACATTCTAAGTGAAAAAGAGCATCGCTTTGAGGAATGCGCTGTAACATGTTCTATATACTCATCTTGGGAACAACCGACAACCTTAGGCGTCAACCACCGCTGGAGATATCGCGCTGGCCAAGGGCCGCAGCTGCGGGTGCGGATCGCGACCTTCACTGAAATCGCAAAGCTGAAAAGGTGGAAGAAATAAAGATATGAAAAAAAAAATAAAAACACAAAGGTTTGAAACAATAAATGAAAGCTGAAGAAATCGCAATCTGCCGGATCGAATAAACATGAAAAAAAAAACACCAGCACGCTGGACTTGCTGGACAGAAACCCGGCAAATTGATGCAGATGTGACCTTTGAAGTGGATCATTTTGTATCATGTTGTCTCTTCTGTGCACGAAGCCGCGGATTTTCACAGGCCCTGAACGGAACCACTTCGCACGGATCGAACCCTCCACGGATCGGGGATCCAAGCCATCTCTCTCAGGAGAATGGGTCCAAGGCTCACGGAGTTGCACCACCTCGATGGAGCCACGAGTGACACCGTAGACCGGAGGGAATCAGCATGAATCACCTGCAGGTGTAGTAGACATTGACCGTAGACATTTGGGCTGAAAGGTTCAAAAAAGGTCTTTTGGACTGACTTGTCTTCCTCAGCTGCCTTTTGCTTATGAAATCTAATATACCTTATGCAATCTTGTACCTTACTTTATCCATTCCAAAATAGACTCACCAGGCAGGTCCTCACCTGTCCGACATCTGGGTGTCTGGGCAGGTGGTCCCACGGGCTCGGCTACAGCTCGAGGAGAGATGAGGCCCCGAAGCGCGAAGGGTTCCTTGACCTGAAGATGGTCATCGCTAGGTTGGAAGCCATTGCTATTAGTAACAAGAAGCTACTAGGGGCTCCTGGCCTTACTACTAGGAGCAAGGACGCTACTAGGAGCCCCTGGCATCGCTACTAGGAGCATTCTTACTACTAGTTAGAGGCATCACTAGTCACTATATGGTCCCTGTGGCCTTCTCTCGCTTGGAGCAAACCGGCTTGTCTTTGAAACAGTTAACTTTTGCTGTCGAGGTGGTACAATCTTTGTTGCCCTGCAGGTTTGAAATCTAGGACCCTGAAAGCTTATGCAAATTGTGGCTAAAATGGCTGTGCATTCAAGAACGGCGCTTGTTAACCTACATCGACATTTTTGCATCACTTCATGCCTCCTGAGAGCCTGGAGTAGCTCCCCTTGGTCAGGCAAACATCAGCTGGCAATGGTGCCGCAGTCTCTGGATGCGAACATGGAGATTCCCATCAAACACATGTGGAACAAACTCCAGTTGTTCAAGATTGTCGGAATCTTCAAGCTTTCCATCGCTGCACTTAGACACAGGCCAGAATGGTCTCGCCTCGGCCCACGGATTGTGGCCGTGATGGCCCCCAGAGATTTTTTGGTTTCTTCCCCGCAAGTAGGTTGGAGCCCATTGCTATTAGTAACAAGAAGCTACTAGGGGCTCCTGGCCTTACTGCTAGGAGCAAGGACGCTACTAGGGGCTCCAGGCATCGCTACTAGGAGCATTCTTACTACTAGTTAGAGCCCATTGCTATTAGGTTGGAGGCCTTCGCTAGTAGGTCGGAGGCCACCATAGTCACTCAAGTGTCGACCAGCACTCGGGCACCGACGCCAGCCTCCCGCGCGGACATGGAACGCACTGCAGTGTTCCCATTCCTGCAGCCCCATAGAATTGTGGATCTGAACTTCTGAACTAATAATTGTTATATATAATACATCATTGTGAAACCCCATTTCTCACATGAGAAGTGGCTTTTACATCGGCTTCTCCTTGGAGCGAAGAAGGACGTCGCGGCCTCAAAATGCTGCCGGATCGCTCTCCACAAATTGGATGGATTCACTCTGACGTCCAGCTATCCAACATTCAATGTGCTTGGCTGAATAGCAGGGGAATGGGCTTGCGGCTTCCAAATAGAGTCCCAAGAAAATGTGCGAATGTTGCAAAGTGATTTGGACCTCGCATCAACTTATGTTGGGTACATAAGGGACTCTTCCACGATGAGAGGCACTTGTAACTTGTAGCAGTCTAGTTTCATTCGAAACCTTTATCACCTTCCACAAAAAGGATCCTGAATTTTGTATATACCTATATATTCCTATTCCCAAGACTTCTTGATTATTGCAGATGTTCATAACAAAGAATGACCTGGTGGAACCGATTTTCAACTTCCATGTTGGCTCAGTTTCACTAAGCCTCCCAACTGCCGAGAGCTGCGAGCCCTCGACGCCCTCGACTTCCGAGGTCCGAGGCTCATGCGAGGGGCTGGCGAGGGCGGCGCAGAGCCGACGGTTCGGTTGGATCCGTTGGCCCAAGCCGACGGGTTTGTTCAACGGAAATAGGTTTTTGTTAGGTTTTTGTTAATGCTACTAGGAACAAAGGGCATCGCTACTAGGAGCAAGGACGCTACTAGGGGCTTGTGGCATCACTACTAGGAGCATTCTTACTACTAGTAACAAGAAGCTACTAGGGGCTCCTGGCCTTACTTTCTTTAAATGAATGTGTATGTGGAGAATGTGGTCTTCCTTTTGGTGTCACATGATTTGGCTTTTATTTCAGGAGCTTGTAGCTTAACCAAATGATGCAACACGTATCAACATGTACCAAGTGCAACGATCCATGCTCTTCCCCTTTCCACACACCAGTTGCCTTTAAGGCGACACCATAGTCGTATGGACTCCCGACCCGTCGCCTGGAGCTTCTTGCTCTTGCACACACCCTCGGAGAGCGCTCAACTGCCTGAGTCAATTTGGCGGTAGCCTGCTAGGCACCGCTAGGATACACAGCAATAAAGCCGCAGCTAGGCACTATAAGTTATTCACACGTGAACAAAGAGCCCTTTTACCATAGAGGCTTAAAATGAAAAACTTGCAATTGGATGCATTTGGAGCGATTGGTGGTCTACTGTACTGCAGGCTCAGACTCAGCTATGGCTATGTCCTGACTGATGCAAAACAAGATTACAGTAAATGCTCAGGAGTCCACTCCAGCAGTCTGATAGAGATCAATCTGATGCTGCAGGTACTCTATCCTTGCAGAAAGATCTGGGCTGTGCCTTCTGTGCCTTTCTCCATTCTACAGTGATCGATGTCAACCCACAGGTGCCAAACAAAGCATGTGACTCCACTGCCTAGCGTTCATCCCTGCCAAAGCCAGTCGAAAAGCAACAGAAGTGCCAAGGCAGAAGCATCCCACACCGTGCTGAGGGGCATTTCCCTTCTATCGACGCCAACAAAAATCGCGGCTTCTATGGATGCTACGGCTTCAAAAAGGGCGAGGCTGAAGTGCACTTTCTTTCGTTGGCTCAGTGGTTTTTGGCGCGAGCTGATGGTCTTGGCCCGTCTTCATTCCGGTGCTTTGGTGTCTCCCAACCGACGCAGCTCGCTGTCCTGAGGCGGTACAACTCCTCCTTCTCGTTCTTTTCCCTCAGCTGTGCCTGAGCACCGTGTGTTTTCTCCCACGGCGCAGTCGCTTTTTCATTGGTGTTCACTGTTGTCCGTATCAAGACACTATCGTGCGATGCTCCCTTCTCCAATGAAGGATCCATCTCATGCGGAGTCAATGACCAGACCTAGAAGAGGTTGGATATCCTTGACCCGTCAGGCTTGCCAGGACAGCTAGGACTCTGTCTGTGCTCATCCACCATCTAGCCAAACCTACTATTAGTCCCTAGCCACCAGAGAATGGGTCTTTTCCAACCCTACCCTTTGTTTGTCTTTAGCGTTGGCCAATAGAAGTAAGGCCCACAAAGACAAAGCCTTAAGATTCCTACGTAAATAACTTATGTACACGTGTATACATATATACATACATCAATGCTGTCTCATTTCGTGGCCAAATCTCTTCAATGTTCACTACGCACAACTGGTCCCACTCGACCGCCTTCAAAGACTCGCTGAGTTCCTCCTGAACGCGTCATCGATGATCCGAACGTGCACGGATTCTCCAACCGTCCAAAGGATGAGGCGAAGAACCCTGATGTTCGATTTCGGATCAGAAAGGCAAACTGGTATCTTCAATTCATTGACAAGTAGGCAAAGAATAGGAAAAAATAAAAGTAGAAATGGGCACATGTTCATTGATTCATGCCACTTAATAAAGGAGTCTCACGGGCGACATGACCTTTCAGATTCAACTCCTCATTGGACCACTCAGTTGGTTGAAAGATATGTTCTGCCCTCTTCCCGATGTAGACACTCCAAACATGCAAGCGGGTTCCATCTTTTACAGCGTGCTTACTGAATATGGTCTACGATCTTTTTTGCATCGTTCGTGTTTCTCCGTTGCTCAGCGAGACCATGAGCTCCTTCGTCTCCTTCAACCCTTCGACGAACGAGAAGAACCGGTGACGGTGAGTTATCTTTCGGTGCTCGGTGGCAGTGGGTGATTGAGACCCATCGGTGAGGTGAGGCCCACCCAGGGTCCACACCGACATCGAGTCCGGAGGCGTCGTCTGACTCTCCCAGCTAGCCCAAACCGCCTGCTACCCAACCTGCCCATCTCAGGTGCTTTCTCTCTCATGGCTCTACCAAGTCAAGATCTATCCACTTCGGCGCCATCTGAAAGCTTCAAGGCTTTGGCATTGAAGGTCCAGTCCAACGGCTCTTCCACGGAGGCTTCCATCGTGAAGGGGCCACGGCTCTTCAACAGCGGTTGCCACAGAGCAATGGAGGACCTAGTGGTTTCAAAAAGGCGATCATAGATGATCCAATAATTCTACAATGTTCTAGGTACAAGTGAATACCCTTGGACCATGCATAAAGGATGAAGTGGGAAAACAAAAAAATCGGCAGAAGCAAAACTTTCAAGCATATGCCACGGACCGCAAGCTGGGCGGTAAGCGCAGGTGCTGTTCGCTTCCATCGTAGCCATCAGCTGGCGAACGGCAACGACCCAAGAAGTCCTCTGCGCTAGAGCCTCCGCTGTAGGTTTGGTTGGCTTCAATCGAACTTTAGTGCTTCGTAGTTTCAGTTTGGACAGTTGAATCGGTTGGACATCCTTCGCCTTCCTGTAGCAATCAAAAAAGACTACAAACCATTGACGAGCGCAACGCTCTTGGTTCAGCTTGTGCGACAAGGGGCGGAGCTCTTCCAAGAGCGTCTCAGAATGGAAGACTGCAAGTGCTGGTGATCCAAAGTGGATCGGAAGCCACAAGCCGAAGATCGGCCAAGGCATGAAGGCTTTCACCTGAAGAGAAGAGTTGTGCCCTAGGCATGAGGCATGAAGCGGAGCATCGAGGGTGTGCAGAAGTCTGTTTTGGGGGGCTTTTGATGTAAAGTTGGGTCTGCAGATGACACTACTCTTCCATATTCAACTGAGGTCGATTACTATGTCGTAGGGTTTGTGCAAGACCCACCTGCTTGGCAGGGCCAGTGTCTTGCAGTGACAGCAAACTCCCGCGGGAAGGCATCGGCAGAAACGACTGGCAGCCAAGGACGTTGTGATCAATTTCAGCAGGACCCAAAGGCCTGTCGAAGCTTGGTGGACCCTGGTGGTGAAACTGCATCGGTCCCCCATGTCTGCTGAATTGCTTGTACAATCTACAAAACTCGACCCAAGCCTGCCGCTTAATACTAATTACTAATTTGAAACACAGACTGATTTGACTCCACTGTAAAAAGTGCTGCCTGCCGTGTACAAATAAGGATGTGCTTGCCAGGCAAGATGTCCATTCCTCCTGTGTGTTGGGAAGCTTCACTTCCGGCTGAGTGTAGAGCTGTAGCAAAGCGACCACGACAGCCAAATTCCGGATGTTCATCCAAAATGCAAGAAAAGCTGTGGAAGACAGTTCAACAGTTGAGACAAGGTCCAGTGCTGTGCAATATCGATGGAACTGCGTCACAGCTTCAATGGTTGGGCCCGAGCTCAAAACTCTTGCTCCTTCAGACAATAAATAAATGCTCAGTGCTTCTGGAGAACGAGATGAGACCAAGCTGGTCCGATGGCACTCCAGGCCAGGCTGCGACCACCTGGCAGACCGTCGGGTGAACATACTACTCCGGCGTGTGCGAAAACCCAGCTTCTCCTTGCCCGAGCGGAACGGGGAAAGGCACATCTCGTGAGCATTTGCACATCGAGGCCGCAAAGGCTGCCGCCTGTTCTTATGCCGCCTCCACAGGCGCTGAATTTGTGCTGCTGCAGTTCCCTCCTTGCGTGACACACCCTCGAGCTCTTCGAGAACACTCTCCGCTAGTTTTGTCCAACTGGAGTCGTGGTCTTTGCCTCGACTCTTACAGAAGTCTGCTTGCAATCTCTTCAAGATTGCATCCCAAGACTCTTTTACTTCAGGGCACGTAGATGCTCCCAACAGAAAGTCGCGCACACATTGCCAGTCACAGTCTTCAAGAACAACCTCCTGTTCTTCAAGGATCCTTGCAGCATCCAGTACAAGATCCTCAAAACGTCTATTCGAAAGCTCGTCGTTGTCCATATACAAATCGGTGATCTGAGTCTTGCAAGTCAACACGGCTTCCCAGGCCTCAGCTTCCACGAGCAGAATTTCCGTCGATGCCCTCATCGCCCTCTTTCAAACCTTTATTCCTCCATACTTGTCAGCCCCCTTTCCTCCAGAACACCAGGCCACGTAGAGGGTTCTTTATGCAAAACCAAGAAAAGAACTCTATCTCTCTCTCTCTCTCTCTTCCCCTCTCCCAGACCTCACTGTGTCACGAATCAAGGCGCCTCCAGCACACAGTTCAGGTGCTTCTGTGCCTCCTCAGCCACTGCATGCGCATCCACTGCCACCTGCGCGATGTGGGGCAAGGCCGTGGCCAAGAGCTCAGCAAGGTCGCCACTGAATTGGCCTCGCAGTTAGACGGAGAAAAAGACAAGTCGCACGGTGCCATCACCAAAACTGATCTTCCACCGTACCAAGATCCCACACGAACTGGGATTGTAGGATATTCCACTAGCAAGCGATGTATCGCCTTTGATCAATCCAATTCTACAAAGCCCTGGCCGTCCTCAGTAGTGAAAAAAACCTCTGAGGTTCCTCAAGGGCTTTTTGGCCAAACGTCGTCTTTTGGTCCGACTTTTTTTGGACTTTCGATACCTGGCGCAACCGAGGTTCTTTTGCATCAGTCCGATGTGTTTTTGCACCGGGATGAGCGGCTCTTTAGTTAGTGTAGCTGTGGATGTGCTCACTGTGTTTCTTAGCCAACAATGAATGGTACAAATCGAGCGTGGACAAACCATGGACAAACCGTGGAACAGTAGATGTTTAGCGTGGATCAGTAGTTGTTTAGCGTGGAACAGGAGTTGTTTAGCGTGGACAGGGACCTCCGAAAACTCGCCAAAGGTGAGAAAATGCTGACGCTGCCCCATGTTCGATCGGGTGGATTCGGGATGAGCAGGGATTCAGGTCTTGGGATCCGACGTTTTTTGGGATCGCTCGGATGTTTTTTTGCATGACCAACCAATGATCTAACGGGTATATTTTAGCGAAGTGAAAAAACTCTGAGAAAACATGGTTTTGCAAAACAACTACTGTTAGGAGAACAGTGGTTTATTGTACTACTTTTGGATCCCTAGGGAAGGGAGCCACTGTACCCAGCGACCCTTTTCAGCTTTGACTTGAGGTGCTACTTTTTTCGAATTTCTTACGGCGAAATGATGACGGTGTATTGAATGCCAGTACTTCAGGCATTGTAGCTGAAGAAGCCTTATTGCACCCTCCACTCGGGGAGGGTAATTCATCAGCATAAACCAATCCAAAGTTGGACCACTTCTGGGAACCTTTGGGATAGTGGATCGGCCACTACTGGCACGTAAGTGTTGCTTGTGAGTGGTGGCATGCTGTTGCTTTTTGCTTGCTGCCTCCCTTGGGTATTGACAATGCAGTTGTGATTCTTGTAGTTGTTGATGGTGTTGTTGCTGTCATTATAGGTGGGGTGTATTGGCAGGATCCACTCCTCGGCAGCAAAGGTTAGAAAGTCTGCATATATACCCCAACCCTGTTATGGACATACAGCACAGGAAGTGTGTGATGAATTGTCCTCCCTGAAACATGGTAACACGCCCCACACAGCCGCGCATGTGTACCATGAGTTGTCTAAAAATGTTGTTTTTGCCGCCCTGTTTTTGGAGCGTGTTTCAGAGGAAGGACGGCAAAACACTGTTTCAATGAGGTTCATGTTAGGGTGTCCCCTTTTTCTTCAAGAGCAACTACATCAGCAAAACCACTGATACACTCGGTCCCAGAACTGTCTGTTCACAAAAGCTTTGCTTCTGTTCTTCATTTGGGGCGGTAGCGACCCTTTCAACCAGCACCCCGTTGTGCAGGCGGCATCAAACCCCCCACAACCCCCCAACCGACCCCATCTTCCAACATGTGTGTGTGTGTGCGTCATGTCGCAACATTGCCACATACATCATTTTCCCCTCAGTGGCCCTGCGATACCACACAAATGTTGCCAATACCACACAAATGTTGCAAGAAATGCTCAAAAAACGACAAAAGCGTACGGCACTAACGGGGCGTGACACCTGAAAGATGCATGAACAAGAAAAGAAGTAATCACTCGTGATTAAGCAATGGCAGGCCGATTCCTTTGATTGATAAGAAGGTAAGCCACCAAATGTGTGAGAACTCTACTCTACAGTAATCAATACTGCCCGTCAATCTGACGTGTGATCCTGTCTGCAATGTTGGCGCATGTTTATATAAACTTGGAATTCCAAACGTCCGCTGAAGGCTTGTTCTCTAACCCAAATGGTTTGAACTGAGGAATTAAGAACATGTGAACTCAACCTCCCTGATAAAGAGGACGAGTTCAACCTAACCAGTTTACAAGCTGCAAACCTGAATCTCATATTGTGAAGGGACTACCAACACAGCTATAGTGACAAATTTAATGCAGAAATGCCTCATACTCATACATGTTTGTTGACTTCATCTGCACCCCGAGATAGACTGGCCGATACATATCAGTTCAATGTAGAATGACGGGTTGTATTGCCTGCTGAGAAAGAGCCTATATATGTCTATCATTGTTTTGTTCAGAACGAGGCTGAAGGAATTCAAAAATGCCAGTTCCTTCAATGGAATGATATTTGATCCTCGGAACGCGGAAGTCTTGGATCTTCGATCTACCACGCCTTGCAGCTCCTTCCGCCGCTGATCCTGCAGCGCCACCGGCCTGCCACCCTCGCCCTCCGGCAGCGCCACGTGGCCCCGCGCGGCGAGGCGCGCCTCGAAGCCCTGCAGCGCTTCCCAGAGGCAGCGCACCGCACCGCGGAGGGCGGCAGAGGCCACCGTCCAGCTGTCGCGCCTTTGCCAACGCTTGGCTTGAAACCCTTGTTATTTCTTGGAAGGCTCAACCAGATCTGGAGAATGACCCAAACACAAGGAGGCTCCAAGCTTCCCGGGGCCCGGCTTTTCGGGGCGAGAATGGGCGAGGTCGGTAGGTCACCTTTCAGTCCTTTCAGTCCTTTTCCAAATGGATGGGAAGAAGTAGACTAAGTAGATGGGTGTTCGACCGGGCGCGCCTAGACTCTCGGGTGGAGGCCAAGAGCATCTGCCATAGTTCATGCTCAAAGCACAGGGCCATCTCCTGAAAAACTGGTCAGATGTGGAGCCCTTCAATTTCGCCAATTCCTCTTTGATCAAACCTCAAGTGCAGCGTTCGCATTCAGGAATGGGAGAAAAGTCCAGAGATTCCAAAACAGTTGTCATTGAGTTGTCATGGCAATACTGCTTGCTGGCCATCTCTAGAATCTCCTGAGGCAAAAGAGCATCGATCCGTGCTGGTAGACACCTGTGCTTCGTCTTCGCGGAAAATCGGAAACAGCCTGAACCTTGGCACAATCTAAATCTCACGAATGGTCCAGAAATCCGGATCAGCCCATTGTATATAACATGGCGCCGGGGTCGGGGTGCTCTGGGGTCGGTCACCGCAGCTACACAAAATCATCTCCCGCCTGCGGACCATCTCGGCATCCTCCTTCTCCTGCTGCGCAGCTCTGGCAATCTCAGAGATGCTCTGCCAGGAACGCATTGCGAGACAGCGCCCATGGCAGGGTGTGAAATCCACCTGGGAACCCAAGAGGCACTAGGCTGAAGGGCCTAAGTCGATACTGTCGATAGGGCAAATGGGAGGGGTGCCTAGCTCTGGGTCAACCTTCAAAGGATCTCTACAACGTGGATCTTATGTGTTCAAGGGTCAACTACCCCAGGTTTCGTGGCTTCATGCAGGATCTCGCTATCGTGGGATTTGATGCTGCAGACGAACAACGTCACGACAAGCACAAAGCGAGAACTGCTTTCCCTCAAACATCTCGCTCCTTGAAAGCCCCATTCACCTGGTATTGGACCTGGTGGGAGATGGTGACGCCTTTCTCCTGGAGTAGCTTGGGCGCCTGAGAAGAGATTTTGCAGAGAACATGCATTTAAAAAAATCGGTGAGAAACCCTGCTGCCTTGGAGCATCCCAAGGTGGTCAAGTCGCTGCAACAGGTGTCCATTCTCAGGACCCGTGACAGGTGAGACTGGGCAAGTGCATGTCTTCCTTGTGTTGCATGTTCCTTGGGTCCTTTGTTTTGAAAGTCCGTTGACTTGGAGGTCTCCCAAATTGCAGACTTGGAGGTCTCCCGTCGTCTCAGTCGGCCTTCGTGACCCCATTCTGCATCTCTGGCCTCAAAGGGGCAGAACATCGAGTGGGGGTGCACTCTTCAGAGCCCCACTTTGTGAAGTCTAAAAGCGTGGTTGAAAAGAGGAGTTCCACTGCACAAAACATGTCGTCAGCATCCACGGTATTCAAAGTTTGCACGCCACACCTTGACCCACACAGGTCATGTTTGCAGGAAGACAGGTCATGAATGGTCATGATCACCTCTGCGGCTCCCACACCTGTCTGCCACACACACAAAGGGGGACAGGATTTGCACGGGACGAAGCTCTCTGAAGCCCTGAATCGTTGATTTGGGGTGGGTCCTGAAGCACCAAACCACAAACAGTGAGTACCCTTCACCCGAATGTTCGGTTATGGCAGAGTCCGAAAGGACACTGACCTGGGGTCCAACGGATTCCAACGGGCTCCCCGGCGGAGGTCGTGCAACCTTTCGCTCCTCAGCCTGCACAGAAGTCTTTTTTGGAGCACTGAATCACTATAGTCGTTTCCCCAAATAGATAGAAACGGTTTGCAATAGATTTATAGTGGGGCCTTTCCTTTTCTATCATGTTCGGGGTCTATATAGGTGGTAGTCAACATTCCTAAGTAACGATGGAATTTGAGATTCTGACGGAAAGGATTGAGGCATGCTGTCCTCGACATGTCAAAACTAGCCATGGGTTTGGGGTTCAAAATGCTCAGGGCCTTGAGCTAAGTATGCCTAAATGTTTCTTTGAACCAATCTTAGCCATGTCAGATTGGTGGCTCGGTGGTCCTTTGATGAAGCTGAGGAGAACATGTTTAAATTGGCTGTCGGCAACACCATAGCTGTCGCGCACCTGCACCGTCGGTATGGTGGCCGTGCTTGATGTGCTTGGCACCCTGGGCACCTGCCACAGCCCAGCTCCCTCACACAGCTTGATGAGGTCTTCTCACAGCCAAAAAGCGGTCTTAGAATCTATGGGTCACCTGATTTCTGTCTCGTTTCCACCTGTGTTTTTTCCATGTTGAAGCTATTAGCAAAACCGTCAGCGCCAACTCATTTTGACGGATCTTCGCCTTCTTTGGCACAGCCGTGGTCACCTCAATACCTCGCCACTGCGTCTGCTGAGCTGCCAAGAAACTTGAAAAAGGAGCTGCCAAGAACAATTGTGTTTCAAAAGGTTTGAATATATTTCAATTGCACCACCCAGCCGTCACAATTGATTCGGGCACGTTCTTGCATCGCATGAATATGATATGTTTCATAGCAAGTGGAGAAGTGAAATTCTTAAGTTCTTCCAAGAACATGTTGAAAAATATCTACAGTATATATTCGAGGATGGCTATAGCATACGTTACCACTTGGGCATAATTGATGTGACCTTTAGAGCAGTCACTGGGCGCCCGTTTTGAATTTTGGCTTTGCAGTCACTTACAACCACTTGCTCAGGCAGCCACTTGTCACTCAAGCAAGTAAACTTCAACACGTGCACTTTGAGTTCTTTATGTAAAAACTGCAAGATTTCTTCGTCGCTAGCTCTGCAGAAGTTTGGAATTTATTCTCGGATCCCCGTTGAAATTCCCATGGTCGGTCCGGGCTCCACATTCTATAGTAATAAAATGGGGGAGCCTACCTTTTTTGCTCTATAGAATGGATGACCCCAGCTAACAGGATGGACACCAGCTCACTATAGAATGGGGAGCCCAGACCGACCAAAACCAACCAAAATGACACCTTTGTAGACCTATAACCTAAAAATGGCCTAACCATAAGTTGGTTTACCCCACCCTCCTTCCAGACCTTCATTGTGTCAAGATAAACGCTCAAGCACACAATTCACAAAAAGAAACATTTTATAAAGAGGTCATGTTGGCAAAGAAATCTAGGCTTCACAAAACAGCTGACAATGACGGACAACCACATTTCTCACTCTTGCTGTGCACGGTCTCTGTCTATGTTCTGCTACTGAAAGTGTATATGCTTCGCATATACCACTGGACAATCCCCCATTCCAAAAAACTACCATTCCGGGCTCTCCTTCAAGTTGCACAACAAAACCCAAACACAAAAGTTCATGAACAGTCTGTTGTTCACTAAAAAATATCACAGCCATCCACAACACACACCCAGTTCCGGAAAAGACCAGAACTGGCAACACACACACACAAAAATCCTATTTAGCACGTGTGGGGTTTTAATAGCCGACACTGGAAGTTGAGCCCAACGATTCCTAAAGAAAAAGAAGATGAGTTGCACCTTTCGGCGCTATTTTACACCTTTCGGCGTACTAGTTACAAGTAGCGTTTTATTTTTTTGTGGGCTGGGCGTGCCCAAGCTAAGGCCCATGAACGCCAGCAGGATGAAGATGATAGAGCCTGAGTCTCCTTAGTTCTTTCCTTAGTATTCTTCTCAAGAATGCTGTGCTTATAGAATGGCTGGAGTCCAGCACCTGAAACAGCCTTTGATCTGAGATTATAGGAAGATTGCCTTTCCATAGAATGGATAGGAGTCCACCCAAAAAGGGCTGTCCATAAATTGAGTGCCCCTCCACTTTTGGAGTCTCTTCTGGAGAGCCATGTGGTTCGTAGAACCGTTCTATGCAGGAGCCTGGGGGGACTGATTTTATGGATGAAACTTTTACGGGGATATTCTCGGAAAAGATCTTGGACTATTTCATGGTTTCTCCGCGCGCAGCTCTGGAGAAATCTCGGTGTTCTCCAGAGCTGCGTGCGGAGAAATCATGATATTCTCCGGACAGAAGTAGCAGTCACTTGGCAGCCACTTGCTTGGGCAGCCACTTGCAGCCACTTGCAAGTGGCTGCAAGTGGCTGCAAAATGGAAACTCAAAATGCGCACCTCCTGCGAGCTCAATGCATGTGCATTCCACATAAGGCGACCCTGCCTGTGAGAATCAACCTAAAATATCTGGTGCAAGCTTCTCCAACCACCAGGTCTCCAAACATGCACAAGTGAGACCACAATTACCAATATATATATATATATATTTGTATAAGCCTGAGAAAGGAGGCAGCTGCTAAACATACCATTGTTATCCATTGTTGCAGTGCGACAAGGCAAGGTGCCTTTTGGTGCAAAGCGGCGGCCCAAGGTCTGTTGGGGACGCGCCTCACAGGAGCCCCTAGTAGCGTCCATGCTCCTAGTAGTAAGGCCAGGAGCCCCTAGTAGCTTCTTGTTCCTAGTAGGGCTCCTAGTAGCGTCCTTGCTCCTAGTAGTAAGGCCAAATCACTTGGGTACAACTCTCATGGACTGCAGATTTTGGAAAAGTCCCGATCTCGAGAGGTCTGCTTTGAGAGCAATTTAGAGTCTTGCTCCTACCACCTCGAAGTTTCAGAATTAGATTCAATTCTATCGTACCAAGTCTGTAGATCTCACAGATTCTGCCGAGACCAATCAGCCCTGACCCGAGTCTGACGGGCACCTTGTTCAATTCTCGGCTGGCTTGGAGATTGGGAGTCTTCGGCGACTCTGCGGAGACGATTGAGGCCTGAATGCAAACGAAAGGAGTTGACCGGTCTTTTAAGGGAAGAGCTTATCATATGGGGTCTTGTATTTTGTATTCTCGTTCCTATCTGGTCAGATTCTTCGGGTGGAGAACAGTTGGGAGTCTACATCCACACTACCAGCCAGAATTGGAGTGAGAGATCTTTTGGGATCATCACCGCAGCACTTGAACAACCTTCTGTAAGATCCTCCACCACTTAGTTCTTTGAATTGGCACCGTTGGTCATGGTTGGCCCATCAACGACAACGCTGCCAGCTCAGTTGGTCCGTGGTTCGAGCCTTTGAGCCGAAGCGTACCCCAGGAGAGGCTCCTTGCAATGCCTGCAACTAGGAGCAAGGACGCTACTAGGGGCTCCTGGCATCGCTACTAGGAACAAGAAGCTACTAGGGGCTCCTGGCCTTACTACTAGGAGCAAGGACGCTACTAGGAGCAATGGGACCGCAACTTCAGACGCAACTTGGGTGTGTTCCTTGCCGCCCACTATCGTGTGGTCAACAGGACACTGGAGAGTATTTCTGCACTCAAAATATGAAAGAGGCTTACACCCTTACCATCTACTGTATGGAATCGTCAAGTGGCCTTCACCGTCTTTGACATCATCATCTTTTCTTTCTCCCGTGGTGAGAGCGGGACGCTCGGAATGGTAACTTTGCTGGCGTTCCTGGCATCTCGCTTGGAACAAGTTCACAGCGATCCTGCAATTCTTGCCAACAATTGTTCTCGGCACCTGTTCAAATTGGCTCGCATCCCATCTTCACTGTTACATCGAACTTGTGGACATCCCGGTGACACAAATTGAAGAAGGTTGAATGCTGGTTTTGCAATCGATGGACAAAGAGCCTCCGCTTTGATTCGGCATCCACATGCGCAATGAGCCGCTGTCTTAGCAGGTCGCAGCTAGAGCTTGAATTCTCAATGGTGTGGTGTATCCCAGCTCCTGGTTTCTATTTTCAAACTCTGCCCCTCCTAATTAAAGAAAGGTTTCTCGAAAAAGGTAGGAGGTAAGTATGAGTTTTCTGGATATGTGACGATATGTGTTTGTTCCCGGAAATATCTCAAAATCTTGCCACGTCCAGCTGTTCCAGGCAGCTGTGTTTTGGCGAAAGCAGCACAGTTCCTGGGTTTCCCGGACCGCAGCTCTACGATGGACGGCTCCATCCAGGGATCTCGGAGGCAATCCCCACTGCCACTCCACCTATGGAAAAGCTGGGGACTGATTGATCCCCAGTCTTAGCAACGTATCACCACCACTTATGCAGATGCATGTCGTGTGTAGTATGTAAATTCAACTTCTGCCTGAGCTCCTGTTGATTGTGTGATGAACAGGTGGCATGATTTGTCAAGTGACAAAGAGTCACTTGATGATACCGGATACCTGGTGTTGTTGTAAAGCCGTGAAATGTACTGCCGCGGTTCATGATGTGGTCAAGTGTGGTGCCGTATAGTGTAGTGCGGCGGTTTGTCGTGTGGTGCAGTGCAGCAATTCTTGATATGAAGAAGTGTACTGCGGTGGTTGGAAATGTGGCGAAGTGTAGTCGGTGCAGTGTCGGGCGGCGAAGTGTAAATGCGATGCGATGTAGTGGTGTGGTGTGGTGGTCCTTGAAGGTGCGAAGTCATGGAGTCTTACGCCAAGAGTTTCTCTATAAACCTCTACTTTTCCTTCGAAAATACTGTATCTATATACTTGGGGATACTGCCTCTAGAAAATTCTACTGTTTGAGAAGCTCACAAATCTCCACTTTTGAATAGTCTCTCTAGATATCGTCTTCGCTGTGACATGCACAGCCCTGCGATTGAGTTTCACATCCTCAGATTCCGTTCCCCTAAAAATAGAACTGTACCACACACGATACCCATCCGCGCCCTTACAATGCTTTTTTAAATTCTTCTGATTCCTTGAAGGTCGATGTGAACCACTTCCACACAACAATCTCTCGCTTCCGCTGCACCACTCCCCTAGTCTGCTTCCTGGCAAGCTGAACCTTCTCGACTTTTCGGACGGGGGGGTCGGATGACGAAGAGCCGAAGACGCCCACAGAAATTGACTTGCCTGCCATGTCTCTGCTTCTCATCAAAGCAGTCACGCATTTGGTCCAAGCGCGCCTAACAGGTCTGGAACATCGAAGGCCGGGCTGAAATGGCAAACATGGAACCTCCTCTAGCAATGGCCTCCAACCTAATGGCAATAGCCTCCAACCTACTAGCGATGGACCTAACTTAGAGAACTGAGCACAATGAATGTCGGACAATGAATATCGGAAACTTCTCGAGCATCGGCGTGCTCAAGTTGTCAAACCCAAGTGATGCGTGTTTCTAGGCTCATCTGCCATGCTGCTGAGTCTAAAAGAAAGACCAAGGGTGACTCAGTGGGCATTGGCCGTAACCTGCTGCAGCTTTGCCAGCCTTGAACTTCAAAAGGGTCCAGTAGGTCACTGCCTGAGACACCAAGGGTGCCTCTAGTATAATCCAATATAATCTACATACCAAGTACCGCTCAATGGACTCCTTTGACTGTGAAGAAGCACACATGATCGAGGAAGGAAAGCATTTACCTCACCGGCCTGGAGTTGTTCAAAAGAAGCCGAGGGGTGGCACAAATAGGACGGTCTTTCAGTACTCAGCTCAGAAATGTGTTCCTTCATATTATTGACATTGGACCAACAACGATTGCGCTGATTCTAGGCGGAACCTCCTGTAAAGGAAGCAGAGACTATATAGTTGAGACACACCACAAGAACACATGCACCTTCATGCACGTTTGAGTGTTGTTCGATTTCTAGGTCTACATTAACATCTCGTCTGCTTCACTTCGGCTTCTGAGCATCCCAAACCACGTGTTCAGCTTCGCTAGTCTGGGAGGATGGTGACTTCTCCTGTCACCAAAAATACAAGCAAAAACACGAATGCTGAGCGTCTAAGAATCGAAACAAGTTGAATATCTAGGTGGATGTTCCATTTGACTTCGTTGGCACGTTTAAAGTCATCTGACCATAAAGCAAAGCTTTTTGTTAGATGAGGCCGTCTGGAACCATCTCACGATGCATCACACCAGAGTCATCCTCGTCATGTTCATCTTCCTTTGCCCTGGCTGGAGCGACGGGTGTCTCTTTGGAAATAGCTTTGTTCAAGCACCCCTTCTCCGTTCTCCCGTTGTTGGCTCTTCATCCAGAAACCAGAATTACTCTCTTTGGCAACATCGTTTTTCTCCGCATTTCCGAGCACACTGCCTTCCCAGGCACTGTATACCCTACCTGCCCTACTTGTACCTTCATACTGGGATTCTGCGCACACCTTCAAAAAGTGATTGGGTTTTTGCAGCTACCATCCTCCATCCAGTCCAACATCTCTACTCCTCTACCGGCATCTTATTCCGGGGGCCCCACTTCATGAGGCGAATCACCACAGTGTCGGTGGCAGCACCAGCTCGATGAATGTCCCAAACGAGCTCCACCTGAGGCGTTCCACTGGACTCCGAGCTCGACAAGAAACAAACAGCAGGTTGGTGCAGTGGGCTGCGCAATGAACAAGTGCGCCACTCGACAAGAAGAGAAACTGAACAGTGCACTTGTTTCTATTAGCTTCTTGTTACTACTAGTAAGGCACTTGTTACTAGTAGCGATGAGCGATGCACTTGTTTCTAATAGCTTTTTTTAATGGGACTGCATTTTTCGGACCTCAAATTTCAGTTTCTCTTCTTCCCGCACTGCCGCAGTGATCTCGTTCGCCTTGAGGGCACGAGTGCGGGGTTTTCACGTGGGCGCAAGAGGGTTGCGGAGTACGGTGGAACAAGCGAGTCACGATGGAGAGGGATCATTCAAGCAAGTGAAAGAAGTAAGTAATATGTACCCTCCATATCCCTCCATTACATCGCAGATTCTTGAAAGTTCCTCTTCTGCACACGTACCAGGCCATACGTGGGTGATGAGACCACCTTCCATCTTGACCGTATCTTGTCATTGGAGCGAAAGCCTCAAGAAATAAGCCAACACTTGTCACTGTCGGATCAATCGAATTTGAGTCGAAGGCTCTCCTGTCACCCCGCGCACCCCAAGGCCCTAAGGCACCTCGTCCACCAGATTGGAAGCTTCCAGCAAAGTTTGAAAGACCCTCAGCACGCCCGTCGTTCAGTGGTTGAAGCTCGATTTGAAATGTGCAAGGGCTCGTCCCGAATTGAGCTTTCATGAGAAGGGTCGTCTTTAAGTGGCATTGCATGGGCTTTCACAAGCCTCTCAGCCAACATCTGGATGAAATTATCGGAGTCATCGTGAGTCATCTACCTTGAAATCATTGAAGCCAGCCTGCCCAAAACACCGGAAGTGAGTCTCAGTATCCTGCTCCTGCCCAGATTCCTCACCAAGTCTGGACCGTATATCCTCATCCAGCGAAAGCGGGCTCGGATCAGCGGCGCTGTAATCGGCTTTTTGCGGCGTCCGAGGGCGTTTTGGAATGTCATTGGAAGTGTCCAAAACCGTTCAAAACCCCAAACGCCCCGTGTACGTCTCACAGAGTGAGAGAAATCGCTCCCCAAGCCCAACCCCCTCCCATTTGGACAGAAAACAAGGGGTTGCACACATGCACACACGCGCCTTGACGTTTGCAACCCCGCCTCCAGCCGCAGTTGGAGATCAGCCCAGGCCCGGCTATCCTGAGCAGCTGGCAGCTGGACTGTTTGATCAAACCCAGTAGCTATGGACAGTTCGGATCAAAACAAAAACATTAGCGGATCCGCTTGCCACCCACAGCCTCGGGGATCACAGAACGAAGAAGCTCTGCGTCCTGTGTAGCGACGTGTCCACAAGGTAGGCTTTTGCACTTGCGTGTAGCTGGCCCTCCGCACCATTCTAGAAAGTGTGTGATGCACGAACACTTCCACATCCTCTGCTTGACTCAGTGGTAAAAGCTTGGAAAGGCTACCTGAAACTTGGCCATGCAGTCCTGCTCACGATCCGGCAAGGCAGAGCCGGCCTGCCGCAGCAGCTTCAAGAGTTCCAGAACTGTCCGTGTCGGTGTGATGCTCCACAGTTCATAGTCAGCATTCGTGCTAGAACGTTACGGTAGTGCCCTCCAAGATGGAACGCATGCAGGCATAGGAATGGGAGCATGAATGCATGACCAAACAGCCAGCTCTGTCAGCATCAAACCCACGATGTCCCATCCGTCGCCTGCCCCAGCGATCGTGCTGCCTCGTTAAGGCTCCAAAACTCTTATATAGCTTCTGAAGCAAGGTCCATACGATCGCGACTGTGGGTGTGTCGTCTCGAAATTAAATAGAGATATCTGGTCAAAGGAAGTTTTGTGTACGAAACTTCCGTGTTACGGACATTCAAGAACTGTTCATACAGCACTCAACCTACACCACTCATCAATACACCACTCATCAATACACCACTCATCATACACCACCACTCATCATACTCATCATACACCACTCATCATACACCACTCATCAGACACCACTGTTCATACACCACTCATCATACACCACTCATCATACACCACACATCATACACCACTCATCATACACCACTCATTAGACACCACTCATCATACACCACTCATCATACACTAGACCTCCATGTGCAGATTTCTTGGCAGGTGCAGCACTTTGTGAACCTCTATGTGCAGATTTCGTGGCAGGCGCAGCACTTTGTGAACCTCCATGTGCAGATTTCGTGGCAGGCACAGCACTTGTGAACCTCCATGCGCAGATTTCGTGGCAGGCGCAGCACTTTGTGAACCTCCATGTGCAGATTTCGTGGCAGGCACAGCACTGTGTGAACCTCCATGCGCAGATTTCGTGGCAGGCACAGCACTGTGTGAACCTCCATGCGCAGATTTCGTGGCAGGCACAGCACTTTGTGAACCTCCACGCTGCTCCGAACCTCGACGCAGAAGCTCGGCGGAACGACGGTTGCGAGGCGGTCTCGGGTCATGGTCGGATCATGCTTCGGATCATTCTCGGAATCGTCCCTCCATTGTGATTAGAGTTTTCATTTGTTTCTTGAAGTGCAGATTTCGTGGCAGGCACAGCACTTTGTGAACCTCCATGACTCCATGTGCAGATTTCGTGGCAGGCGCAGCACTGTGTGAACCTCCA